TGATGTACATTCATCCCAAACTGCCTGAAAGGAGGAAGTGACAGCACTTCATGGTTCAACAAATGTATTTGGAAAACTGACCGCCACAATAATGTTCATATTAACCATTTGTCTTACTGTGTTCAGTTTTATTCCTGAGAATGCAGAATAGACATGGAGCAAAATCCCATTAGCAAAAAGCCACTGATAATGAAAGTATAATACCACAGATTTATTAGATTAAAATATACGTTTAAGAATATGGCTCAATAAGAATATGCAAACATATTTGTAAATAGATTAGAATAGTTTTAAACTATAGTGAATAGTAAAAGTAAAGTACATAGTCTAAAAGTGAAAATACAGTGAATTAAGTGAAGTGTAAATAATCAGCATTAAAATAAAAGTATAAAGTAAGAAAAGTGAAATAAGCTTCTAAATTGAGACTCAGCTCATTTTTGTCTGTGTTTTGACTGAATCTGCTGAGTTGTACTGTGTCCAATAGTTTTTGTTTTTATTTATTTTATCAACTAAATTAGTTAAATGATTACATACTGAAAGTGATTGTTTGCAAGTAAAGAATCAGTTAAATTCACTTTTTTTGTTTGTTTAATTTTGACACTATGATGAAGGCCAATTAGAATTGATTGATCACATGTGTTTATGTGATCAAGGGAGGGACTATGAACAATAGAAGGCCATGGCCTATGTAGTAGTACAAAAACCAGATAAAATAGAAGTACAAGACACACAATGTTTTTTGATTGTATATCTGCTACAATTGTGTATCCGTTATTTTAGCTGACTCACGCCTGGGTTTGGCTCTTTCATGATGACGCAAATTCCAATATATAATGTTTCCCTGTTTATTGTTCTGCCTGAATCTAGCACCTGTTGTGTAATAAACTTCCAGGTTGCTCTGGTGTGCAAAGATCCTGTTCAAGCATACATTACACAGTAAATTATAGCTATCCGCAAGTTGTGCAAGATCACTTGTACATTCACACGTTTCACGCGGCTATTGTCAAAGCTACTGTTAGTATTAGATAGCAATATGGCCTACGTGCAGGACTGTACAAGGACTCTACAAGGACTCCATGTTATGACTATGATTTGACTGTCTCTTTGTGACACGTATGTCTTTCGATGTGTGACGTGACAATGACTATATAAACTGTGTACTGCCTTTATTCTGTCTGAGAGAAAGAAACAAAGTAAACCAGTGGAACTTGAGAGAAACTTAAATAAACTTCCAGAGTTTGGCGCACCACGATCCGTCTCTGTCTGCTTAAATCCTAACAGATTTGGTTGAGAATGTGCGGCTCAGTGTGTGCCATTCTCTGGATTGTTTTGAGGGAGTTTTCTTTGTTTCTTTTTTCTCGGCGTGGGAGAGCTGAGAGTATCGGGGGCCTGGGAGCGGTCCAGCAGGCTGGAGAGGCGACCGGCTCCGGGACTTTTTGGTCTCTCACTATATTTTTTTTGTGTCCTCTTTTTTGGACTGAGCGTTTAAAATTGTTTTCCCATGTCCACATTCCATGGATTTTTGACGTGCGATTGGTCTCTGCCGATGGAAACTAGTTCCCGGTACTAGTGAGTGCTGGTTCATGATCTGGAGACCCGGTTGGACGTGGAAAAGCTGGTATTTGGTGGACTTTTGACGGTGCCTGGGCCCTGTTCGACAAAAGGTAAGAGCGGACACCTGTTTATTCAAAGTCTGCTAATTGAGTGAACTAAATTATGGTCTGTTTTGAGGTCCACCAAATACCATATCTATATAGATCGGATTAGGTAAGATTCAGGTCCGCCACCTCGATAAAATGGCAGTGTAATTGATCATCAGGTCCGCCACCTCGATAAAATGGCAGTTTAAATGATCATCAGGTAAGCCACCTCGATAAAATGGCAGTGTAATTGATCATCAGGTCCGCCACCTCGATAAAATGGCAGTTTAAATGATCAAAACAGGTTGCTACCTCAACAAAATAGCAGTTACGGCCAGAATAGTTAGTGAAACCATGGTGTAAACATAAAAGCAATAAAAAGGGAAATGTGTTAAAGAGGCCTTTGTTACAAAAGCTTTGAAATTGACGAATTTCAGGCTGATAAATGACAAAAGTAAAGAAGCAACAATATCTCAGTGATCACGGTTTAAATTACATACAGAAAAAGGGAGTTTTTTGTTTTTTAGTTTGTTTGTTTTTGGCGTGAACAGAGTTCACCGGAGAATGCAGAGTTTTATCTAAAGTTGAGCTATGAGAGCTTTTGTGAGATATTTACATTTTTTGCCGAGTTTTATCTACAGTTGAGCTATGAGAGGGTTGTATCCAACAGTTGTTTTTTGTTTTTTAGAAAGAGATTTTGAGTTTAAATTAGTTTGCTACCTCGATAAAATAGAAGCGTAAACGTTAAAGACAAAAGTGCCTTTTGTTACAAGTGTGGAAAGTGATCACTTCTAGACTTGGATGACAAAAGTATAAACTACAAGTTATATTCGCTTAACAAAGTAATCTTGAAAGTTATTCTTCTTTCTGTTTTTGCATTTTTTCTAAAACACTACTTTCTGCCTGTATGTGCCGCACTATCTTTCTGCCGTTGTCAGGGAAACGGCCCCCTCCTTTGCTGCTCTGGCTCTGAATCAGAACAAAGCTACTGCATTAGGATTTCTGGCTTTTCATAGTTGTTATTCCGTTAAATTAGCGAAATTTGCAATTGAACATTGTGTTATGACACAGTTAAACATTTTTAAACACCATTAGTGAATAAGTTTTGAATTAGTATGTTTTTGAAACCCAAAGATTAGTACAAAAAGCTTTGCTTTTCTTTTTAAATCTGCTGCTTATTTCTTAACTTTTTGTGAGTTGTGTTTGTTTTTATGTTTTTATTTTAGTTACAAAAGCCGTTTTTCAAACATTTAAATTAGAATCTGTGTTAAAAGTGATTATTGATTATAGACTTCGTCTAAAAAGAAAGAGGGAATTAGGATTATTAAGTTGAACTGTACCCAATTCACCCAATTCACATTCAAGTGGTGACTTTTGTTTTTGTTTTGACTATGCACCTGACCTTCCTCCTGCTGCTGATGCACACAGCAGAGGAACCTGGCTCTAAAATGTGCTCCAATTCATATTGACTTCATTTGAAAAATGCTGCAATTATTTTAAATTAGTAGAGTAGATGCTGAGATAAATAAGTGTAAAAGGGAAAGTCCATAAAGTGAAACCCAAGGATGTTCAAGATAATTAAACACAGTACAAAAGTACATAATACATATTTTAAAGTTTGAAGATTTTTGAGATTTGAGTCTTGTTTTTTATATAAAGAGTTTCTGGTTTTAAAAAGTTTCACATTAGTAAGATAATAAGTAATCTTTATTTACATAGCGCTTGGAAAGCCAAGAGCGCTCCAAAATTGTTTAGACTTTAGGGAGAAAAACAATCTCATTCACATATCTGTTGTTTTGAATTTGACTATAAGGTTGTGTTCCAGGACCAAGGGCACACACTGTACAGGGTCACTGGACTGCTGGAGTGGACACTGGACAGCAAAGCCCACCCAGCCACAGGTCACAGATCAAAGAGCAAAGGAAAATGCCACCTCCTTGCCCCTCCCCACGCCACTCCAGAGCTGAGTGGGTGTGAGAGAGACCGGGGTAGAGAGAGGTTTCTGGAGACGTGATGGGTGGAGCATCAGGGAGAGACCTGAATGAGAGTTGAAAGTGTGTCCACGTGGTTAAATCGACACAGTGTGACCTTTGACACCTACAGGTGGTTCGAGGAGTCTGGAGACACAACCCCAAAATTCACACCCTACACACATACACACACACACACACACACACACATACATTCATACACACACACATTCACATTTACATATAGATACATGAAAAAGCAGAACATGAGAAAAAGCATTTTAAAAGTTTACTCCAATGTAAACATATTTTTTATTGTCTATCACTTGAATCTTTACATGAATCAGTATTTTTTGAGACCAGAAATGTTCATTTGAATTCTATATTGTCATGGACTAATTGACCTCTGTCCTGACACTTTTGATTTGTTGATTTTGTACTGTGTGATGTAATTACATTGATTAGAATTAGATCTGATAAAAACACAAATTAGAGAAGTAAACTGAATAACTGCGCTTGCTTTTGTCTGAGGGACATTAGCAACAGCATGAATAGAAATTGTGTTAAAGTAGAATCAAAGTGACTTAACCATAGAGAGTAACCATTGCATAACAAGCTGTGTACAGGAACTGTGACACTGCACCATTGACCAGAAGTGCATCGCAAATGACCTGATGCGCTTCAAGTGAAAAGACTGTATCTGGAGATCCTGATGTGCATCTGGAGAGACCAAAACCATGGCTTGGACCCTACTGATGTCCAAGATGACATCTCTCGAAATATGACCTGACCTGATGACGACTGAGACTCACCCTCTGAGGACCCTGAGGACCTGAGGACCTGAGGATCTGAGGACCTGAGAGAAAAAACTGGGGAGTGATGTTTATATTATTAAAATCATACATTGATGAGTGCTAAATGAGAGCGATACTCATGATTCTTTCTTTTGTTTTTGTTTGTCCCTAGCTTCTGGACATCTGATGATCTATTGGACACAGCCATTTGCAGAACAAGAACCAGCCAATGAAAACGTCTATTGCCGATGCTATTGCTACAACCACAACTGTGACCAAATGCAATATACATGTTAAGTATTCAGACATCTGACAGACAAAAACTTTGAAAATGATAAAGTATGGGTATTGTAGCGTTTTAATAGATGTTAAATAGTAGTAAAAAAGTAGAATTTGACTTCCTTTGTTGTTCATAAACACATTTCCACGTAAGAGTTAAAATAGTACCCTACAATGTTATCCTTTTGATCGATCAGCTATAATATTAGAATCAGAGTTATGTTAGAGATATTAAAAGTGACAGAAGTCACAGATTAGAAATATGCCTTGGCTATACACAACCGTGAGCAGCCGCGGGGCTGGTGACAGTCTCTAAGATGAATGTGTATTGGGCTGTCGTAAAGCAGTTCGTAGTGCCGCGAGAACGAGAACAGAGCTGTGAGACTGGCACCGGTGCGGAGGCAGGCAAATCTGCAAATGTGATTTTCTGGCCAGAGACAGCAGGGGGAGATGAAAAACTTCCCAATCATCCCATTAACACTTGTATTACCCCCAGAGGGAATACGAAAAGGATTTATTAAGGTAAATAAGTTACTTAGTACTGCTTTAAGGGATTTGTATACATTTTAACCTATTTCAGCTTTGTCTGAAGGTCCAGATCTATTTTAAGTGTGAATAAAAACTGCAGACTCTAAATTATGAAGAAAAAACAAACGTGCCCCTCGCTTGGCCTAAAGAGCCACAATCGGCCCTCACAAGACACAGATGTGGGCATATTACTTTAAGCAATCTTTGTAAAGGCATACGTACATGCATAATTAGTAATTTGCCTCCACCAAGTGAGCTCAGTTTGGGTTCAAACTCATGTTTGGACTTTTGTCCTTTTTTGATATGAATGCATACATTTGAAAATTTATGTTACAGACCGCTGATGAGAGAATCACAAAGAGATCAAAGTGGGTCCTACTTCTGAAGAGGTCTGAATGTGTCCGTCGTGCTGAAGGAATCAGTGACTGACAGATCTTGGTGATATTCCCACAGCCATGGCAATGCTCATGGGGTTTACAGTTTGAACATGGACTATCCCAGAGAAATGAGGTACACGTTGGAACTCCTTCAGAAACAGAGGTGGACATTGTTCTTCACTAGTTCATGGTGTGAGGAAAATGTAACATCTTCTGACCCATGATTGTATGTAGTAGTTGTGATCACCCCTTTTGATTTATGAAATGAATTGTGCCAACAAATCAAGAACATTCTCAGAAGCTCAGTTTAAATCTGGGCAGGGTTTCCTCCAGAGGGGGGGATCAGTCCCCCCCTAGCCATGGCCTTAGGGGGGGATATCCCCCCCTCAATTTTCTTACATATGCATGTATACAATTCTCACATCATAAAGTGCAAAAACATTATTTTCATTGGGATATATCTGATCTGGCTCGCTGTCTAATCTATAATCTAAAACATGATAGTAAAAAAAATTACATAAAAACACCAAATCAGAAACTTCCGTACAGGAAACATTTTTTATTCTTTATTCTGAATCGGAGTCTCCTCAGATGAATAGCGGTTCTCTTTTCGCGGTCTTGCAGATTTATTTGTAGCATGATTTTCACTGTATTTGAACTTGCAATGTTCATCCTGATTGGCTAAGGAAGAACCAGCATGTGTTCTGCGTCCTGATTGGCTAAGGGGTAATCTCTGTGCCGTGTTTCCTGTACATCACAGCATTCACACCAGTGGGGGCGGGTCCCGGCTCAAAAGTGGCCAAAATGACGTGCGCTGACATGCTTGCAATACCACCCCGGGCAGATGGGGGTGGACCCAGAAGAAGAATTAGCCAATGCTAAGATATAGCATTGGCAGACCTCTCGAAAACGTCTTTACAGGATGGACCAAAAGTTGGTCCACTCTAGTTTACTTGCTGTGAATTTTTGAAGTCTCTCGTTCAAATGAATTGAGCTGCGCCGGCTGACACATGCGCAGATGCGTTTTTTCACAATTTTCTTGTGAGCGGGACCATTCGCGGCCATTTTGGATAGCTCCAGTAGAGCAAATTTTTTGGCCCATTAGTTAGAACAGCGGTGATAGGCGTGACTCTGTCCGTTAATATATACAGTCTATGATTCACACTGACAAATGTAAATCCATGTCTGATTGCTAGCAGTGTGACTGTAAGTGCTGTATGCTAATTTTCTCCTTGACAAAACCATGGACACCCACAAGATGGTTAGTGCTAAAAAGTTGAACTTCTGGACATGTTGCAACAATGACAGCAAAGAGGAGCACGGTGCGGAGCCCAGGCCATTGACGAGGGATTTTCATGCAGCACTAAGCCCATTTCTTTCAAAAAATTTTACAATTTTGATTTCAAGATTTCAAAAGGCTATAACTTTAAAGTAGTTTGAGATGAAGGCATATTGTAAATGAGAAATATCTTCAGTATGAACCAAACTTTGGGATGGATGTTGATTCGTCATCTAATTTGCATATTGTGACGTCATCAAGGGGGTTGTCATCAGGGGGCGACAGTAGCTCAGTTGGTAGAGCATTGGCCTTTGGGCCTGGAGGTCGTGAGTTCGATTCCCACCATGGGACCTACTCCAACTGCTCCCACTGATGACTGCTGTCGTTGTGTCCTTGGGCAAGACACTTAACCCCACATTGCCTGAAGCCCCCGCTGAAAGATCAAGGCTGTTTCACAATTGACGGAGCAGCCATCTTCCTGTGGACTCACCCCCTGCAGAAGATCAGCGAGAGACTGGTGCTACGAGCGTTGGGTGGCAGCTCTCATTGCCACCCCCCCGACCCAGAAATGGACAAAGGGGTTGAAAATGAAATGAAATGAAATGAAAATGAAATGACGTCATCAAGGTGGTGGCCATTTTGGAAAATGTTAATTATTGTATAAAAATTTCAAAAAGCTGTAGTTTGAGTGTATTTTGAGATCTGGGAATACTGTCAACAGTCAATGTGAAATATCTTTAGTATGAAAACACAATTTGGGATAGGAATAAATTCACTGATCCAATTTATGTAGAATATTTTAGCACTGGTCAGCGGCCATATGGAATTGTATTATGTATTAGACCTTCAATGATCAAGATGGTACTGCTTATTGTTTACCAGTCATGAAATCTGCACTTTGGTTTCAATATTACCCTGTCAAAAGACCTGGTGGCATACTGTTTGTCTCAGTGGAAATGAGGCTCCACAATTCATCGTTTAGAAACAGAGCGATTAAATGAATGGGCTCAGAACTTGTCAGATTGTCTCAACAATAAACAACAGGCTCTTCAACACTTCTGATCCACTTTTATGGATTTTCTTCCTCTCTGCCTTCATCATCATCCTTGCCATCCGTAAAGGCAGATTTGCGATGTGTTTTCTTCCGCGGCTTCTTAATATATTGACCCAGTGCATGTGACGTCACGGCCACGCCCCCTCACCGTGACAGACGGCGGAAGTATCGCTAACTGCTGTTCATTTTACCGCGAACATCGGAAACTTGACCGTTTTACTACATAAGAGCCAACATGGTAATATCGTGCAGTGCGTTCGTAGGGTGTACGAACAGGCAAGGACACAAGCCAAATGTTTCCTTCTACCTGATTCCTGCTCGTGATGAAGATAGAAGACGGCGCTGGCTGGCGGCAATCAACCGCAAAGACTGGGAGCCATCCAAGTACTCCCGTATTTGCAGTGAACACTTTTTACAAGGTAAATAAATTACGATTTTGTATTTATTGTCTTTCCATTCATGCTTTTGGAGGACAATGAACGGTTGTTGCTGTAGCTCACTATTTTCCTCTCCATCAATATGTAGCTAGCATGTTTGGCTGTAGACAGAAAAGTGAACATTTGCTAATGCGCTAATGATACCAGCAACATTTACGTATGATGTGTGATTACATCTACACAGTGTGTGTGTAAATCACTACTTTGTTGTAAAAACCCATGTCTCTTTTCCAGGACAGAAGAGTGATGATCCCCTGTCACCTGATTATGTACCTTCAGTTTTTGCACATACAAAGTCCCCTGCAAAAAGACCTGCTGTGCAAAGCCTTGAGAAGTTCAACGTGAGACAGAACCTGAAGAAGAAGAAACTCCTGCAGTCTTCAAGAAGCGAGGCGGCTATGGCACTCCTGGACTTCTCATCAGAGATGAGCGAGATGACCACTCAGCTCACTGAGAATGAGATGCCTGAAGGTGAATGTGCCAAACTGACCTGACCTCAAAACATATAGAGTCGTTAACACTGGAGTGTCAGATGCTTCGAAAGGAAACATTTGAACCTAAACAGAGGCTACATGTTAACATCTTTGAACAGAATGGCTTGAAAAACAAGGACAAGCTGAAGTCACTGACTGGACTACACAGCTATGAAGTATTCATGGCCGTGTTCAACCTTGTTAGTCCAGCTCTCAAAGACACTACAAATTTGACAAGTTTCCAACAGCTACTAATTACATTAATGAAAGTCAAACTCAATATACCAAATTCATTTTTATCATATCTCTTTGAAGTTCACTCCTCAACTATTTCCAGAGTCTTTTCAAATGTCATACATATCCTCAATGATATATTAGTTCCTTTGTGTGTAATATGGCCCCAGAGAGAACATGTTAAAGTGTCCATGCCCATGTGCTTTAGAAAGTCTTTTCAGCATTGCATGGCGGTCATCGATTGTTTTGGATAAACCTAAGGATTTGAAGGCAAGGGCCCAGACATATTCACAGTATAAATCCCACAACACAATTAAATACCTTGTTAGTATCACTCCACAAGGCACAATCTCCTTCATCTCAAGGGGCTGGGGTGGTCGAACAACAGATGCATACATCACAGAGCACAGTGGCTTTTTGGACAATCTTTCACCAGGTGACTTAATCCTTGCTGATCGAGGCTTTACAATTCAGAACTTGGTTGGTCTGTATTGTGCCAAAGTTGAAACCCCTGCCTTTACACGAGGAAAAAAACAGCTCGGAGCAGTTGAACTGGAGGACACCCGAAGACTTGCTGCTGTGCGCATACATGTGGAGAGGGTGATTGGATAAGCTCGCTCCAAGTACAAGATGTTGCATGGACCTGTGCCTATCAGTCTCCTGTCCACTGATGATCCTGAGTACACAACTCTGGACAAAATAGTGCGTGTAGCATGTGCACTAACCAATCTGTGCCCCTCAGTTGTGCCAATCAATTAATGTAAAATACATGTTATCTAATTTCTCTTTGTCGTCAGTACCATCTATTTAAGTTGTTTTTTTTCTGTTTAACTGGGTAAATGACAACCCTGACCAATGTGATTGTATGGTAATGTGATGCGAAAGTATGTAAAAATAAACATTTCATATTGGCAACTATAACTTTAAGCCTCTTTATTACATTTACTTTGAATTAAGCATGACAAACGGGTCTACAAATAAATGAGCCACAATAAAACATTAGGCCTTGTTTAAATGATCGAGTAGAAAGCAAAAACAATCAGGCCACATTACTCTTCACTGTCTTCCAGTGTGTTGGAGTTAAGCCTTTTATCTGACTCTGGTTGTGGGCAAGGGCATGTATATTTCTTGGCCAATAGCTCTGGAAGAATAGCGGACCTAAACATCTGTTCTACTTTGGGTACTGTTTCTCTCATCAAGGCAGCATCGGGTAAGATCCTCTGTATAAAATAATCTGATTCAGACCACACCATGAAGTCACAGTATTTTCGCTCTGTCACAAACATCTGAGCTTGCACCTGGTAAAAGTATGCATGATCTTGGCTAAGAGAACAAAAACCATTTGTATTTCTAATATAAAAATTTGGATTGTCTGTGGCACTGAGGACTCCAGTATTAGCACTGTGTGGGCATTTTATCTCTAACACACCATTGCCGCAGCAGCTACAGGACAACAAGGCATCTGGAGATGCTCCGAGGTAGGGCCAGCTGGGGTGGATGTGCAGACCAGAGTCACAGACTTGCAGGTCCTGATGCTGTGATGAGGCCTAGGCTTCATATGTCTGCCTTGCTGTCTTTTCTTGTTGACATCCCCATCTGAAAGATAGACCATACATAATGTCAATGTCAGTTGCATATTGAGCAGAGTTAATGAGGATCTAACATTAACATGTTCAATTCTAACATGTTTCACACTTCTATATTTTTGCACAATCTGAGTAATTATATCTATGCCAAATGTGACATGTACATTTCTCCATTGTGAGATCAATGAAGTTGATCTTGTCTTAAGATTCTTTCTGTTCTGATAAACATGTATTTGTGAAACAATAACTACTATGTACTCCGGCTTTAACATAATAAACCACATCTGTGTGTTTGAGTCATAGCACACATGCCTTGTAGCAGCAGTAGAAACACCACACTGGCTTGGGTAGCAAATCTGCCTGATGAGTGACTTGGATGGATTAGATGGATCTGTTCTTGCTGCTGACTTGAATCTTGAGGCTGTCACTCTACCAGCCCTCATGTTAAACCATAGCTTTGACTGTCCCTGTTGTCGTGTCTCTTCCTCAACATGTACTGCCTACAACATTTAATATGCAAAAAGATAAATACTATATTATGATACAATCAATTAATAGGCTTAATCGATTCATCTGTACCAGTTTGGGTGTGACCTCTATGTTGATGAAAGCATCATCACATTTCACCATTAGGTCAGAAGCACACAGCTTACGGTGATTAGGGTTGTACAACTCTGTTAGAGGCTGTGGAAGGCTTAAAGATAACACTCTGGGTTGCTCACAGAAGTTTGGTAGCACACTCAGGAGACCACTCTTCTCTGAAGGACTTTGGGATGCACTATCCAGATCTTTGTAGAACTTTTCTATGGCACCTTCAGACACACTCGCTGTATGTTTCTGTTTTGATGTTTTTTTCTTTGATATTCCAGCTTGCTTTTTGGACGGATTTGTGAAGTCAATTCCTAACCCTTCTTCATAGAGTGCTTTGCCTGCTTTCACTGGAAGATGCCCCCATTGTCTTGGCCCATCACTGCAACTTTGATCTTGAAGGAATTTTACTGCAGACTCAAGGGCATAGAGCAAGGCTGTGATGTGCGAGCACACCTCTCCCAGGCCTGCTTTACATGTGCAGTGGCCACACAACACTGTACCATCCTTCTGAAGAGACACCCAGGGCTTTAGAGGAGGTTCAGACAGTGCTTGGCTGTGGTGAACCTGAAATCACATGATATAACATGTATAAAAAGGGAATAGGTATTATTTACACAATAGGTCATCATTTTGAAAGTACTATCTACTATAACCATCTAGCTCCAATCTAAATGTAACTAAAGGGGGCATTGATCCATGTTTCTAAGTGCGAAAAGTTATGTATTGTACTTGCACAACATTGCATTTTCATCACAACAATAATATAACCTTTATCTATTGTAATAGTTCTGTGTTGTCGGTTTACTACCACAGGGGGGCGCTCTGGTTATGGTAGAGCTTTTCAGCGGTGGGGGATTTTCCCCACGAGTTGACACGACGGTAGTGTGTGTTGTAAGTTTCTGAGTTAAGCATGAGCTGTGGCTAACAGCAGCTTGTTCTGTCAGCTTGTCAATAAAAGCATCTTGAAAAGCACTGTTCAAGCATTTCTTACCTGGGAGTATTACACTATGAATAACTGGTCCTGTAGTTGTACACATTATAATAAGCCAGTGACAGTATCCCAGAATAAATATCTACATGATACACAATACACTTAATCATAATTGTATGAATTTACACATGATAAATGATACCATAATGCTATCGAAATTACTTACCTTTGCCATTATGATGAACCGTGTCCCCCTTTCTTGACAACGAGCCCCAGTGACCCAGCCAGCAACAAAAACTGGTATGCATCCAGGCTCTTGTACACTTTTAAATCTGATCCAGTGTAAGGAGATACATTGTTCACTACGTAAGGTACAGATCATGCGGGGAGAATTCGGGCAATGTTGTGCATTTAACTAAATCTACGAAATTGACTGGGGGGAGAAGGTACGGGTCAACTTCCAGTTCGGCGATCCGTAACTTCTCCAAATACCGCGCTTTATGGGCCCCGACGAGATGTCCTCCTTCCGTCGATAACTTCATCGAACATTCAGCCATCTCTCGATTTATGACAGGAGTCTCAATGTTTAGGAGTTGGAGTCAGTTTTGCTCTCACCACAATGCTAGCTTCCACTACTTCCGCCGTCAGCTCATGCACGTTCACGTGACTTTATGACGTCGGTGCATCTGGTCAATACAGTCTATGCTTCTGCCACGTCTCCCGCGTTCCCCGCGGTTGTTTATTCCTGCTGCATTCACCCACATGCCCGGTGTTATGACCCCCTGTCCCCTTCACCACGTCCCCTGCCTGGCGTTCGCAGAATGTTTCCACTGCGGCCACACACCGTGGTAAAGAGGCCCGGGTTTTCGGAGTCAGCGGTAAAGAGGTCCGCACATTAAAAGCGGGTGGCCGCTTTATGTTAAAAAGTGCATTGTGGCGGCTCATCCCCCCGTCTTCTCTTTCCAATGTTACTGTAATTTAACAGCATAAAGCGGCCATCCGCTTAATGTGCGGACCGCTTTACCGCTGACTCCGAAAAGCCGGGCCTCTTTACCACGGGGCCACACAGAGGACGTAAACTGTGGCTGACTGTGGACTATTATGACGCGGACTCACTAATAATGTCTGTCTGCTTCACTGGACACTTGCGTGTTTTCCTCCTCTGAATCTGAGTGAGCCAGTACCAAATACTTCTTTGATCTCTGGAGACCTCTGGCTCCGCTCAGAACTACGGCTCCTGCTTCGTGTCGATGCGCCGCAGGTGTTTTACAAACTAATTTTACTCTAATACCACAAAGGCCGCTCATATTAAAGGCACACATGTCCACTAACTCCTCGTGAAAAATATTTTTAAAAATTACTGCAATAAACGTGTGAATTTTTTTTCTGGGGCATCGGACCTCAACAAGTCGTTGACTCAACTTTCTCAAGCTTGCTCAGTTAACGTTCCCTTATTCTACTCAACTGAAATAAAGCAATTGAATTGATTCGTATTATCAAGTACTATGAATTAATTACATAAGTTGAATGAACACAGGAAAATAACTTGATTACACTATACAATTGTAATTGTTTGGAATCAACATTTTAAGGCAGCCCTTGGAATGGAATTTTTAAATTGAAGGGGCTATTGCAGTTTACAGTGTGCTACCACGGCCATTGGTTAAATGTCGTGCGTG